TTTCATAAAAACAATTTTCAGATTTTTAAACTGTCTTTACTTTTGTTTTCTATTTCATTAATTTTGGTTCTCAGCTTTAATATTTCTAGATTTTTTGGGTTTATTCTGTTTTCCCTTTCTAACTCCTTCAGCAGATACTCATTAAACTTTGAATCTTTCCTCTTCTTTCACATAAACATAAATTTTGAAAATTTGTAAGTATCTATACTTCTTTTCCTGCACAAACTATTTCAAAAGAAATGATAACTAGTAGGGCCGGGGACTTAGCTCAGTGGTTTCGCTGCCTGCTGTGCAAGCACAAAGACCCGAGCTCGATCCCCAGTACCAAAAAAAAAAAAAAAGAAAGAAATGATAACTAGTAAACCATCATTTTGCAAACCCTAATGAAATACTACAGTGGGTCTCAAAGGGTAGCCAGCAACATTAGCGCCATCTAAAAACTTGTCAGAAATACAAGTATTTCGGGGTGGGGCCCAACATTCTGAGTTTTTACTGGTCCTTTAAGTGATCTTGATGTACACTTGAGTTTGAGAATCCCTGATAATTAATCTAGTAATTATCATCAATGGATGCTAAAACCATTAGGTGAAAGGTTGATGGGCAACCTTATAATGAAGGAATCAGGGTGGCACCACCTTAACCTTTTAATTGATCTTGGTCCTACAAAAAGTGGGATAATCAAATATTATGCGCTTTCTGGTGAAATGTAATACCAATTACACAGCACCACCAATGAAATAGTCTTAGGAGGGCTGGGGATGTAGCTCAGCAGTATAGTACCTACCTGGCAAGCATGACGCTGTGAGTTCAATTTCCAGTACAAAAAAAAAAAAAAATAGTCTTAGGAAACGAACAACAAAAACCAGAATCTGGAGGCTGAGGATTTACCTCAGTGGTGCCGCCACCTGCCTCGCAAGGGCAAGGACAAGATTCCGATTCCTGATACAAAAAAAAAAAAAAAAAAAAAACCCCAGCATTTTGAGTGAGAATGACCTCACTACTAGCTCCAGGTCTACTTCCTCAATCAGAGAAACTCCCTCCCACTCAACAAGGTAGGTGACAGAATCTAGGCCTATGCCAATCAAGGCATGAATAATTACAAGTTTAGTGATGATACAAACAGGAGTTTAGGGATGATCTAAACAGGAGTTTAGGGATGATCTAAACAGGAGTTTGGGACTTCTGCTGGAAATCCCGGACTACATGTAGAGTCTCTCTCTCAGATGGAGTGGCATGAGAAAGGAGGCCTAGAGGCAACGCTTCCTGAGCTTAGGATGATAAGAGAGGACAACGGGTGAGGATTCCGCAATTAAGTGCCAGAACTGTTTTGGAAACCAGGGAGTCTCATCTCAGAACGAGAGAAAAAGACACCCACAGACACCCCACTTTTTACTGACATGAAAATGCTTCCCAAACTTACACATGCAAATACCATACAATGCCAGAATCCAAATTCAAACACACCATCCACAACTCTACAGAAGACTGACTTGCCAAGTTGAAGAATTCACATTTTGTTAGAAATTTATCTTTGGTTTTGTTTTTAAAGTATGAAGTGTTGAGACCGGTTTGGAGAAAGACAAAAGTAATAATGGTAGAAAGGGCAATTAAAAGGTCATTACACATCCAGGTGTGGTGGTACACGCGTGGAATCTCGGCACTTTGGGAAGCTGAGGGAGAAGGATCACAGATTCAACCCCAGCCTGGGCAGTTTAGTGACTGAGACCCTGTTTCAAAATAAAAAGGTCTGGGGATGTAGCTCAGTGTGAATCCCCAAATGAAAAAAAAAAGTAGCCTGATGGAGAAAACATAAAGCCGTATCTTCTCCTAGACAGCACCTTCTTCCCTACATTATTTAACATAAATTACTGTTTTATTTCTATCAGTGACCGAATAAAAAGCTACTTTTCAAACTCAACTCAAGAAACTTGGATAAGACAAGCACAAAGAATCTACAGGGTAAGAGTAATAAGGTAAAGACTGAAGGGAAGATCTCTGGCCATCTTTTTCAACGGAGTAACCATAAATGACAGCACTAAAAGACACAGTTTCTTTATCAAAAATGTTCTGTCTTAGAAGCCTACTGTGGCTTATGAGCATTGTCCCTAATGCACTAGTTACCCTCCAATCTCCCTTAGGCAGAGACTGAGCCAAATCAGTTGCCAAATTAACAACCTAAGATGACTAGAACAAAAACAAAACAAAACAAGGATTCTAAAAAACGAACTGGTATACCAAAATAAAAACTAAATTTTAATCTACTCAAAAACCTGGGTTACATAAAAATATGCTACACATTTCCTTAGGCAAATACAAATTAAAACCCCAATGTGACGGCACTTAGTAATAAGACTCAAAAATGGATAGATAAGATGTTAAATGTTATGTTACAAATTTCTCATCACAATAAAAAACATATTTCTTTTTAAAAACAAACTACGAACTGGGCCAGGGATTTAGCTCAGTGGTTCCACCTTCTGCCTCGCAAGTGCAAGGTCCCAAGTTGGATCCCAGTACCAAAAAAAAAAAAAGAAACTAAGAACTGTTAGAGAGACTATTGAGCAACTAACTATAACCTTCATGCAACGTTATCAAGAATTTTAAAAATACAAAATAGAACACTTATTTTATAAAAGTTTGGAAATTTTTTAAAATGTTAAAACATAACACTTAGTATATGACCCAGCAATTCTACTCCTAGACATCCACCTAAAATAAATGAAAAATATTTCTGAATATGTTGTACAGAAATGTTTATGGCAGAATTGTTCGTAACAGTCTAAATCTGGAAATAATTCAAATGTCCTCCAACTGGAGAATGAATAAACTAATTGTGGTACACCCAAACAATGGAATAGTACACAGCAGTAAAGGAATGGATGGAATTACTAATAAATCCAACAATATGGAAAAAAATCTCAAAATCATTCTGGATGAAAATAAGCCAGACACACGATAGTATTACTATATCTTTAAGAAATCCTAGAAAATTCAAAACTGTATGAAAGAAAATAAATCACTTACTGCCTTGGGTGAAGACAGTTGGGAACTAACCGAAAACAAGTAGGACGGGACTTTATGGGAGAATAAAGTGTTCCAAAAATTCACTGGAGCGGTGGGTACACAACTGTATCCATATAACAAAACTCACAGGACTGTGTCCTTAAAACGTATTTTTATTTTATTGTATGTAAATTATAACTCAACACACTCTAAAAAAAGACTTGGGTTGATGAGATTTGCAAGGCACTAGCTGTGTGATACTAACTAGAGTTTTCATTTTCTCGGATGTACCCTTGTAGTACATGTCTTACTTTTATATCAAATGCTTCTATGATGCACTGTAGTTATGGGGCTTCCACTGGGAAGAAGGGATTGCATCCTTATCTATACTGCTACTTTCCCTGACACTCTCATAAGGCGGTTGTGAAACATCAAATGAGATAACTGATGAGAAAGTTCTTTAGTAACTGTAAAGTATTACACAACAATACAGGAGACTTTACACTTAAAAAAAAAAAAGACAACAAATTTTTCATTTAATAGTCACTTTAGGTAACTTAAGACACTTGTAAACTTGGGTACCCCAAGATCAGTCTCTGCTCAGAAACAGGAATCAGCTACCTATTCAAATGTCATCTTTTACATCTATCTCCAGAACCTGCTTCCTACTGTCTTAAGTTACGGGATGCCTCAGTGTAGTCTTATCTAGACTGCACTTCCATTTTTGCAAAGGAAAACCACTAAAGAAATGTTTAAAAAAAGTCAGATGAGTATGGCAAGTCTTACTTCCCAGTGGACCAGAAAACTGTTTTTTACTAATAAGCAACTTTTCCAAAATGCTCAGTCTGTTAAATTTCTTTCCATTTACTATTTCAACTCTGTACATATTTACCAAGTTTCCTGGTATGGCTTGCATTAGTGAGATACGAAGCATTAAAAAAAAATTTAAACCAACGTAGTACAATCATTTCACACTTTTGTCTGTTGCAAAATTTGACAGTCTCATTTTTTCCCTACTAACACTGTATAACTGGGCTCTCTGCTATGCAAGTTTTGAGTGATAGTTGACATTTGACCTGATTATATTTGCAAGTTTCCACACTGCAGTAAGTATGCAGGCATTCTGTGAGACACACAGGTTCTCCAGATGCAATTTCACGACAGCATTTTACCTTGAGTCCAAGTTTGTACCAAATTTTACAATTCTAAAAAGTTATTCTACCAGCAACAGGTACTGCAACCAAAATTTAACAAGGCTTGCAATACCTCAAAATATTCTGCTATCATTTTCAATTTTTAAACGGCTCCTCTTCAGTAACAGTTGTAAAGGGAAAGGGTATGTGGCGAATTCTACCGCCAGATTTCACTCGATTTGGTTCTACTTCAGTCTGGACGGCAGTAATCTAACCTCTTAGGTTTCACACTTCTCCTTTGAGAACATTAAGGTCGCTCAATCCGGCAACTAAGTGCACAGCTCCAATTTTTGTTTCCAAGAAACCCGAAAGAATGGCGCTTTGCCCGCTCGCTGCTGCGACCTCCTGGGCGCTCGGAAGGTTGGCCAAACGTGCCACTCTGCCGCCACGCCAGCCGGGCTGGCACGGAGATGCCAGAGGGCGGCTGGTCACGGGGAGGAAGGGAGAGCTCCTCGGCCCTCCGGATCGCGGCTGAGGTCCAGCTAGCCCGCGCCCAGCTCTCCCCGCAGCCAGGAGGGCGTGGGGATCCAGGGCCTCGAGGCCCCGCGCGTGCAGAGGGGCCAAGAGGGCGGCCGCGGCGGGACGTAAACAAACCCACCCGGGAGGGGCAGGGACGGGGGCGACGGCCAGGGGCGCGGGGCTCGCCCCAACCTCGGGCGCCGCGTCGCAGCCCTGCCCACCCCACCGCGGCCGGAGCCGGATCCAGCGCGCCGTCGCCTCACGGCCCGATCCCGAAACGCCCAGCCCGGGAGCACCGAGCCCACAAGGCCGGAGCTCCGCGCCCCCCGCCCCGCAGCGCCCTACCTGAATGCGCAATCCGGGTCTCGGGCGTCTCGGCCGGGCGCGCCCAGCCCGCTCCTTTTGCTGAAAAGCTTCTGGAACAGCGTAGGGGCCATGCTGCCCAGGGCCAGGCCGGGGTCGCTCGGCTAGGAGCTCGCTAGGTCTCCACTCCTACAGTCACCCCGCCACCCCCATGGGCGCCTCAGTCATATGACAGAAATTAGTCACTTCAAACGGCCACGGCGCGTGGGGCGGGGCGCGAGGCGAGGCCCGCGCCCATTGGCTGGCGGTGAGCCGCATCACGTGGCGGCGCGGGGCCGAAGCGAGGCGGGGGCGGGGGGCGGGGCCGACTCCCATAGGTTGGCGGGGGGGCGCCCATCATGCGGCCGCTCACGGGGCGGGGCGTGCGCTGAGGAGCAGGCAGCGGCCTCCCGCCCGCCCCTTCTCGCACCTCCGTCGGCGCCTCAGGTGGGCCCCCGCCAGTGGAGGGGAGGCCGAGCCTTGAGCCTGTGGCCGAGGCAGAGCAGTAGGTTTGGGCTCAGAACTGGAGCGCACGGGCGCTGGGAGAGGACTCTGCCGGGACCGCCACCACTATCGAGGTTCCTGGCCGAGTAGGCTTCAGGCAGGGTCCGCCGGCGTGGAGAACCCTGACCGGGGAGTAGTCTGGGAAGAGCTGGCAGTCAGAAGGGCAGGACAAGTTAGCTTCAGTTTCCTTGGTAACCAACAAAATCACAGACGAAACCAAGGGAGCCAAGAAGCCCACAGAAAACATCTATGTATGAATATTCATAACCCTATGCGAATTCTATGGCATTTTAGGGGCGAAACCCTTAGAACTTGCTAGCATACACATACAGGAATTGTAATAAAGGGAGAAGGCAGGAATCAGAACTTCCCACAAGATTAAAAAAAAATCTACCTTAATGTCTTAAGTGTTTGGAAAGGAGAAACTGTGGAGTGAAACCAAATGACAGGGAAAAAACGCTTTCCAAAAAAAAAAGATGGCTCATAAATGACCTTACAGTGTTATTAAACCCACATTGCCAAAACGTATCAGGATTTCGATCAAACTAGGCTTACAAATTTTCAGCACTCCATTCACCCAGTCCCTCTCCAGAAAGAATAATTTTGTACAGTAGGATGCAATTCTCAGAGAAATGTGGATGTCAGGAGATAACTAGTATATATTTGGAAGGGCTACATAAAAACGTTTTGAGAATTTCGCAGGCATACAAATCAAATTGTCTTTTAAATGGTTGCCAACTCAGATTTGCTAGGGTTTAAGTTATAAGTGGCCCTGATTTATATAGAAAGGGGAAAGTAATTGGCAGAACTTACATCTCTGATAATTTGTCAGCGGCCAAGGCCAATGTGTTGAGATTCAGCATTACAAGATTTTTAAAAAAGCGCTAAATATGGATTTTTAAGAAATGATGCCGGGGGGGGGGGGGGGGGGCGGCAGGGATTTAGCTCAGTGGTTTCGCTGCCTGCTGCGCAAGTGCAAGGACCCAAGTTCGATCCCCTGTATCAAAAAAAAAAATGATGTCGGGGATTTAGCTCAGTGGTTCCGCTGCCTGCCTAGCAAGCGCAAGGTCTCGAGTTCCATCCCCGGTACAAAAAAAAAAAAAAAAAGAAATGAATCTAGCCATTCCACAAATATTCAAGGGCTAGACACTGGGGATTGAAAAGTAAAAAAGGTAAGGTAACTTTCTAGGTGAGAAGACGGTAAATAAGGTGATTCCAGATAGTAACTAGGGTTGTGAAATTGGTAAGAACTAGGTGGTGAAATGGGTGCTAGAGGAAGTCTTCCTGAGAAAGGGCCATTTGAGGTGCTTCCATTGACGTGATTCAGAAGTCCGCAGGGCAATACAGGCTCAAATAGGACTACATCACCTTTACACTTCAGATGGTGTCAACGAAAGAAAGACCTTTAAGAGGGTAAGATGAGTTGTATATTTTTCTTGGAAAATGTTTGAATATGAAATCAAAGTTTTAAAACTTGCACAAAAAATGAATTCAATGGAGTTTTTTTTTAAATGAAAAATGTACATCCTATCAGCGAATGAGTTAATCTGTTCGGGAAGTTGTGTTTTGTTTTTACACTAGAAAATTAAGTTAGTACCAGTAGAAATACAGAAGCAAAGGCACAAGGACTGGTATCCTCTCATTACTGGTGAGGTGAAGAGGGCTTCCCAGGTTCCCTCAGAAGGAAGTTTCCAAATACAATAACCTTGTGTGTTTTCATCTTGGGAAAAATTACTTCATGAGTAATTACAGATATTAATAGTAAGGGAAAGAATATTACCGCTTGCATGAGAGATACTTTTAGTATTCTCCCATCACATAATAGCTTCATTTCTGTAGTCTCAATCTAACACTTGAACAGTACAAAGAAAACTAAATTTATTTGCTATCATTGATCTCACTTCTCCTTTATTATAGCATAGTACTAAAAATCACAGAATCAGAGAACAATGAAATGATATAACTGTTTTTGTGTTCAGTATCTATTTTATCTATTCCAGTGTTGTTTTTCCTTTTACTTATTACTATCACTTCTCACAGAGAAGCTAAGGTGTCTCATAAGCAGCCTCTTTAAGTTTAGGAAATCAACAAGGAGTATACATAAGAAAGACAACAACGGTTTTCTTCTCACTAATGCTGTGTTAAATAAACGCGGAACTGCTGAGTAAGATAAAAGGCCTACACTCTCACTCAGAAAGAGAAAATTGAGTCTCCTTCAAAATGAACAGCCTATCATCTCTGTCCACCTACTTCCAAGATCATCCTCCTAAAAACATGAAAAACAGGCACTCTTCACTGTAACCATTTGCTTTTTGCCTGACACAGGAAAAGGTGGCAATCTTGCTCCTTTAACCACCATGCTAAGTGTATTGCCTCAATTACGCTAAATTATCCTGAAGCAAATTTCATTGCTTAGTCCACTTTTATGGACTCAGGGTACCTCAGTTTTAAAAACTTTTAACCCAATTATTTATTGCTATGTAAGGAAATGTAGTAGTTTAAAGTACCAAAAAAACCATAAACATTGATTTATTCAACAAATATTTCCTAAGTGCCTCCTAGGTCTCCAACTGTTCTAGGCATGGAGAAAAGGGTGTTGAAGAGTCCCTATTCTTAGGAACTTAGTTCTTAGTGAGAAGAGACAAAATAAGCAGCACATCTCCAAGTTGTGATAGGAGTTCAGAAAGAAATCGCTGATAGCAAGCAACTGAAGGAGGCCAAATTTAGGGTGGTCAGTGAAGCCCTCTCCAAAAATAGGGGGTTTGAGCTGAAGTCTAAAGAAGAACCCAACCATGAAAAGAAGTGGTAAAGAACATTCTGGCAGATAGAAAAAGAAAAGTACACAGATTCTGAGGCAGCAAATAGGCAAAAGGAACTGGAGAATACTCTGGGAAGGGGAGATGGCTTAGATCTGGTTAGGAAAAAAAAGGAGTCAGCAATATAAATCACAATCCCTTGTAAGTCACGGGAAGGAAGATTAAGAATAAGAGAAGTTACTAGAAGAGTTTAAAATAGGCAAAAGGTATGATCCAATTTATGACTGTACTCTGGCTGTTCTGTCAAAAAGGAATTACAGAAGAGTAAGAATGGAAGCAGAGAAACCTGATAGATGGTTTACCTGTATTTTAGGCGAGGAAAGCTGATAGTAGCTAACAAGAGTTACTTTGGAGACGTAGCTAACAGAAATTCTAATAGGAGTGAAGAAAATAAAAATCAAGGATGACTCACATTTTTGTCTTGAGCAATTTAAGTGTAAGAAATTGAAGACTAGGAAAAACATGGTTCGAGAAAAAAACTGAGTATATTAAGTTTGGGTAAATTATCTTAGAACTGACTATAAGATACCCACGTGGAAATTTTTTAGTAGAATATATAGGGAAAAGCCAATATTAGAGAAGTTTGGGAGTCATCAGCTCGTAGACTGAATTTAAAATAATGGAATGGGTGACTTGTTCTAGAGAGAATGAATATTTGCAGATGAGAATGAAGGACTAAGACCCAAAGAGAACATTACTTATAGGTCTAGAATAGAAGGACTCAACACAGATGAATGAGAATGAGCAGTGATAAGAAAGGAAGAATAGGTCAACTGTGTAGAGTGTTTCTGAAAAACTACATTGACCATCAGATTGGTCAATAGAGACATCTAGATGAACAATTTCAATGAAGTTATGTGAGCAAAAGCCTGGATGGAGTTGTTTCAAAAAAAGAAAGACCAGAAAGGAGATTTGCTGAGATAGACAACAGAGAGGAAATAGAAGGAAAATTGCTTTTCTTTCTTTTTTCAAAGATGGGAGATATGAGAGAATTGTATACATAACAGAAACAATCTAAAAGGATGATGAAATTAAGTACCTTCTCTGTTCCAGGTGCTGGACTGCAATAACGAACAAGAGAGGTATAGTACCTGCCCTTAAGAAACCAACAAGTCACAAACAAGTTATTGCAGATTTCGGTAAGTTCTTTTAGAAAATCAAAGCTTTACCTTAAGCATAAAATAAATTAGCTTTCCCCCTTGTTGCTTTTGCTACAGTGTGGGCCCATGAACTGTTTCTCCTCTGTGATGCTCCTGTGCCATGTGCCACTGCCTTGGGGCCAGCCAATTATGGACTGGAACCTCTACAAACTATGAGCTATAAACCCTTTCCCCTTTAAAAATAAATAAATAAATAAAATTAGCTTGAAATCCTCACCTAAAATTCTTTTAGAAATGTGCAAAACAAGGTCTTTTATCTACTGGCACACTTTAATGACAAACATTCTTTCAACAAATATTTCTCAAACGACATGCTTAAGATGTGTCTGTCAGCTCTGCTAGAACCTGGAAATACAATGGAGAACAAGATACCACTTCTGCACTGTGGGAGCTTACAGTCTAGGGTGGAAAAAAACGGGAGTGAATAGGAAATTACAATACTGTGAGATAAATGCTGTGATGTGGGAAACTAGAAAGATCTTGGTTGAATTAAGTCTATCAGGATGACGTACACTGTACATGATACAAAACCCAAACAAAACTAGGATAACCAAAGAATGACATCAATTAGTTCACATAACGGGATCTGAAGTACGTGAATAGTTCAGGCACCGCTTTATCCAGGGAGTATAAGAATGGTATTAAGAATTCAGTTTCTTTTTTAGCCGAAGGCTGGTAGTGCACCCGTGTAATCCCAGAACTCCAGGAGGCTGAGGCAGGAGGATCGCATCTGCAACTTAGTGAGACGCTGTATCAAAATTTAAAAATATAAAAGGCAGGGATATAGCTTAGTACAAAGGCCTGGGGTTCAATCCCCAGTACCAAAAAGAAATTCAGTTTCTTTTTTTTTCCCCTCCTTGGTACTAAGGATTGAACCTAGGGCCTTGTTCATGCTAAGTACATATTCTGCCACAAGGCACAAGTCCAGATCTAAAAATCATTTTCTTTTAGTCCATCTCTAGTTTCTCTGTACAGATTCCATTCCTAGGCAAGGTCTGCAATTGTGCCAGAAACTTAATTCCAAGGGGAAAAAAAGGAAAAATTCTGTCCCAGTATTCCAAGAAAAACTTCTGGTACTGTATTTAATCCATTTTAGGTCTCGGACTCATCCCTAAAACAATCACTGTGCCAGCATTGGGAATGTTGATTGATTTAAGCCACTAAAGTGATGGAAAGATATAGGGGAGGTCATTACTTATGTCTACCACCAGTACCCATGGCAGTTAGACAAAAGCTCAGGGTCACTTGCACAGAGATGATAACTAAAGCTGTAGGCAGATGAGATCACTCAGGGGAAATATGTTGTAGGAGAGAACTCCAGGAAATACACAAACTTTAAAACTGAGCAGAGGAAAAGGAGCTTTTAGAAGAAATGGAAGAGTGCTAGAGACGAGATGAAATCCTGGGGAGTAATGTTTCAGAGAGGTCTTTCTTTATTGGAGGGTTTCAGGAAGGAAGTACTGAACCAGTCTGAAATATCATTAGCCGGGAGACATTAGGCAAGATAAGAAGTGAAAAATACACTTTAGATCAACACCAGGGAGGTTGCTGATAGCTTTGAGGAAACAGTGTCAATGGAGAAGAAAAGCTGGAGAGGGAGAGAGAGAGAGAGAGAGGGAAGTTAGAAAGCATTCTTCATAGAAACATAGATGTAAATGGGTGAAGAATGGTGGGTTAGCTAGAAGGAGGGAGGATTTAAGATGCAAGACAAACATTTTTAAACACAGGTTAGAAACCAATAGTAGAACAAGAGAGGCTGAAGATAACTTTATCTAGAAAGTGGGCCTCACATCCTCTATACTGTTCACATAAACACATATGCTATACACCCAATATGAGATAAAGAGACTATTCATAACTGAGCAAACCATGATGAATTATACCTGAAGTGAAAAAAAAATCCCACTTCAATTAAAAATTTTAAAATGGAAATAACAGTATGATTTTTAAGCATTTAACTGGATTTTAAAAAGTGGAGACCTGAGACTATTTTTATGAGATATAATTTGAAAATATAATTTTAAATATTTAAAGATGAAGTTTAGTTACAGCTAAAATGAAGGTGTTTGGCCAGGGATTTAGCTCAGTGGCACCTTGCCTGCCTTGTAAGCGAAAGGTCCTGAGGTTCAATTCCCGATACCAAAAAAAAAAAAAAATGAGATTTTATGGGCCAGGGATTTAGCTCAGTGGTTCCACCGCCTGCCCAGCAAGCCCAAGGACCCGAGTTTGATCCCTGTTACCAAAACAAATAAAAATAAAAATAAATAAAATAAAATGAAGGGGTCAAGGTGCATTGTAACCTTTTTAGAATCACTTGGAAAATGTAATGGCAACTGTGGAGACCCTCTGCAGAAAGAGATGAACTCCCTCTTTCATACTCTTCCACAGAGGTTCCCTGAAAGACCCCAGGTCTAAGGTTGAGACTACAATCCTCTCGTAGGGTTTGCAACAGGAATCTCAGGAATTTGCACATTTGTCAGCTAACAGGCTTTTTTTTTTTTCTTTTTCTTTTTTTTTCTGGTACGAGGGATTGAACTCAGGACCTTGCCCTTGTGAGGCAGGTGTGGCGCCACTGAGCTACATCCCAGGCTTCTTTTAGTTTCCTTCTTCTTAACCATAACTAAAGTAATGGCTTCTACTCATAAACCTGGAACGCCAATTCCAACTCCTTCCTCCCTCTCACTCTTCCCTGTACTGCAGTCTCTAAAAAACAAAATACTGAACTCAGTTCTGCCTTCAAATCCTAGCTCTATCACTTTCTAAATTATATCACCCCAGCCAAGTATTTACCTCTGGGCTTGCTATATTTTCCTTATCAACAATATGAAACTATCAGATGTTTATTTCTTCTCTCACCAGTCCCAATCCCAAGAGTCAGGTATGAACCTACTACTTGATTAGAAACTATCGAATAATTTATTCTCATTTTCTCCCCTCCCCTTTACATTACAAACTCTTTGAAGGCAGAGAATAGACTACCTGTTTCATGTCTTGTTCCTCTTATTACATTTCTGCTTTTAAAACCACGATTGTTGCTGACTTAGTGGACTACTAATTTAGAATATAGGTCTAAAGTTTGTTTTAGCCTCTACCATTAGTGTTTGCTTCTATATTTCCTCACAACTTTTCTGTATTTCACCTTCAGATGAAATCACAGAATCACAAATAGCCTCGTTAATGGCTTAAGGTCTTGTCAAATCATTTACAAGAATATCTTCATAGGATTCCTTTCTAAAAATAAATACTATATAGGTTACTTAACCTCAAATTAATTCATAACTTTTCTGATTTTCCTTAATATTGAAATAACTTTGAAAATTTGATCCTTATTTACTTTTGTGTGTAATAACAATAGTAAAACAGTTAAAATCTCACCAATAGTTAGGCAACTAACTGTATTCTGCTCACTGACAACAGGATGTTGTTTTTAGGGGGCTGCCATCCGTCCTGCCGCCCCCGGCCCAGAGGTAGGGGCTTCTGAGCCGCCATCCCACTGTTCCTGGTCCAGAGGAAGGGGCTTCCTGGCCACCATCTCTCCTGCTGCTCCCAGCCCAGAGGAAGGGGCTTTGGGGCCACCATCCATCCTGCCGCTCCCAGCCCAGAGGAAGGGGCTTCTGGGCGGCCATCCCTACCGCCGCTCCCGGCCCCTGTCCCACCTCTCCCAGCTCAGAGGAGGTAAGCTGTGTGGGTGCCAACAGCACCCCCTGCGGCCCCCCCCTCAGTTGAAATGAGAAAACATACAAATAAGTCTCAAAACCAGACTTCCAGATCACCTACAGCAACCCCAAAGGGAAATGAGATGGAACACTCTGATGCTCAACCACCTGGACCCACTGAACT